TGTTGTTATTTTTCATATTTTGCCAAATTAATGTAAATGTGTGATGTGTTAAACTTTGATTCTGTTAATAAATGACCCACTGTCGTTGGTGAGTCAAAGATAATTAACGTTTCCGTCCACATTTTATTAAATTCAATGCACATTATATACAGTCCAGAAAAATGAAAGAATCCGTTTAATTTATGAATATATCTCATGCATATGTTCATTCTACACCAGGATTAAAATGACTTGGAACTGGTGCAAATGCTTCTGGTCTTAAGAGCAGGATGGGAGGAATCCTCCCAACACACAGCAGCCAGGTGTCTGTTACCTTGATTCAACAGGGAAAGGTTCGTAGAGGAACTTCTTGTAGAAATCCTTCTTGATGTCATGGACCAGAATAACAGCTTTGCCTTGGTCATCAAACTGAGGACGACCGGCTCTCCCCATCATCTGCAAAACATCTACGTGCATACACAACACATTCTTATTGTCCTTTTCAAACAAGTGATTGAAACACACTGCAGTGGACTATGATTCCACCAAAGTCCAGCTGATTGTTACTGACAGAGCTCGAGGCAAAGACTTTCATCATTTGCATTATGTTTACATTCTCATGCTCTTACAAAGACAAATTAAACTTCTTCAGAATGAGTGAGAACACCTGGAGACTGTGTACCTGTAATGGGGTAGTCCACATAGCGCTTGGATTTCCCATCATAGTATTCGGTTCCTTTGACAACCACCAGGTGAGCAGGAAAGTTCACTCCCCAAGCTAGAGTACTGGTAGCAATCAGAACCTGTGACACACAGTACACTGTTTAATGATTTGATTTTGTATAAAATCTAAATGATCAAAACAAGAACTATGGCTCTGCTCCGTAAAATGACAGACTAGAGACACATCCAGACTGGGAGAGAGCTTCTTTCACAAAGGGAGGACGTCAAGTGTCTGGGAATTTTGTTTACAAGTGACAGCTAAAAACTCAAATTAGCTAAAGGCTAGCTAAAAGAATAAAAAAAAACTATCTGGAAGCTAAACATGACAAAAGGCTAGCTAAAAGTAGTAGAAAAGTAGCTAAAAATATCAAAACAAGTCAAAAACTGATCAAGTATGTTGAAGCAATATTTAAATGTAGCAATGTTTTGAAAAAAATGAGAGGTTTCAACATATTTCTATGGGAAACTATTTGTAATTAATGTTAAATGATTTGAAAAGTAGAAAAGTTACAAAAGCTATAACATCCATCTCGTGAATGAGATGAATGTTTTCATTTAGGAATAACTATTTAAATTAAGTAAGAAAAATAAATAAATTAAGTAAGAAGTAGTAGTTAGATTCCAAGAAACATACAAAAAAGTAAAAACTGTTTGTTATGCAAAATCCTCCACGTTGAACGCAATTTTGTTCAGGAAGTGGAGAACACAAGAGAATAATGGAGGGGGAAAAACATTCAGACACCAAATATCAAAATTACGCACTGTTACAAAAAAAAAAAAAAGTGTCTCAGGGAAATTTAAATTCTGCGCTTCAGCTGCGCAGCCACAAGTCACCACAGAAACCAGACACAAGAGAATGACACGTCTCACTAACAGAGGGTGTGAACAAACATGTCACCCACACTGACGCGCTGCAAACAAACTGCCAAAAAGGCAACAATGAGAAAGGACGGGCCCATAAATATGCTATGCATTAAATGAGCACCCAAACATGTTACCAAACATTTCTGGAACCAAACGAGCCCCAATAAATGTTATGACAACAACTTTATCCCGAATAAGCCCCCAAGTATGTTATAGTCCTGAGATGTCCAGGAGTAAATGACAGAACACACAACATATTAAGCCCAGATAATTGTACATTTAGACAAGACTTTAAACATCAATCACCTGAACAAAAGAGAAAACTGTGAGCCCCGGCTAAAAGAAACAAGAAAAGGGAAAGCCCTGAATCAGCCAGCAGTTGACCTTCGGATTTTGGGCAACTCCCCTCACCCTACAATCTGGGGACTAACCCTACAACCAAAAATCGAAAACACAAGGATGGCTGTTAACTCCCAGTCCCAACAACAATCAGCTCAACAAAATCAGTGACAAGGTACAAACACTGGTATCTCCAACAGGAGCATGAGTGAGACTGGAGAGAAAAGACGGCAACCATCAGACTAACATCTCTCCTCTGGCTACCCTCGCTCCCCCAGCAGTTGGGGTTTAGTCCTTTTAAACCGCTTTCAGCCAATCAGATGTTTATGGTAAATGGTAAATGAACTGTACTTATATAGTGCATTTCTACACTGCCTGGCCAAACAAAAAAGTTGCCATCTGGATTTAACTAAGCAAATTGGTATGAGTCTCCTATTGGATAATTACTACATGGGCGATTAACTTTCAGCTGGCAACAAGTTATTTAACTCCAACTGGTACAATGAGTTGCTTCTCATTTCTTAAAAAACCTTATCAAAAGACACATTGCGTGGTCATGGAAAAGATGTCAGTCTGTTTGAGAAGGGTCAAATCACTGACATGAATCAAGCAGAGAAAACTCATGAGATTGCAGAAACTACTAAAATTGGGTTAAGAACTGTCCAACGCATTATTAAAAACTGGAAGGATAGTGGGGTCCCCTCATCTTCGAGGAAGAACTGTGGCCAGAAAAAAATCCTGAATGACTGTGATCAGCCAACAAAGTCCATGCTCAATAATCCAGGTATACAATCCAACAATTTTCAGTCAGGTCAACTGGACAGTTTCTTTTACCTTCTATCTAGACAGCTTCATCAGTCAAAGACACACAAAACACAAAACTGATTCTTCCCCCAACTGCTTCCTCCAAAGTGGAACAAACCAGTTATGTTGGTGCTAAGATGGTATATTTGGCATGCCCCCTCCTCCGGTGCCAGCCGTCTTCCTCGTCGACAGTCATGTCAAACTGGTTCAAAACCATCAAAGTCCATGCTCAATAATCCAGGTATACAATCCAAAAATTTTCAGTCAGGTCATCTGGACAGTTTCTTTTTTTTGTGCTGAAATGTTTCACCTGCTATCTAGACGGCTTCATTAGTCAAAGGCACACAAAACACAAAACTGATTCTTCCCCCAACTGCTTCCCCCAAAGTGGAACAAACCAGTTATGTTGGTGGTAAGATGGTGTCTTTGGCATGCCACCTCCTCCAGTGCCGGCTCTCTTCCTCGTTGACAGTCATGTCAAACTGATTCTAAACCAACAAAGTCCATGTTCAATAGTCCAGGTATACAATCCAACAATTTTCAGTCAGTGATTGGCGATTACGTAAACGGTGAAATCAAATCGAAGTAAAACAACAGTAGCGCTCAGGGCTATGTTTAATAGTGAAAGTAAGAGCATTTTTCACATGCACAATGAAAATGGAACTCAAGGAATTGTGACTGAACAGCTGTGTAGACTTAAGAAAACCACTAATCAGTGAGGCGAAACAGAAAAAAAAAGGCTTCAATTTGCAAGGGAGCATAAAGATTGGACTCTGGAGCAATGGAAGAAGGTCAAGTGGTCTGATGAGTCCAGATTTACCCTGTTCCAGAGTGATGGGCGCATCAGGGTAAGAAGAGAGGCAGGTGAAGGGATGCACCTATCATGCCTAGTGCCTAGTCATCAATGCAAGATCTTGGTGAAAAATGAATGCAACACTGGATGGAAATAGATCTTGTGACATTGCAGAAGCTTATCGAAACAATGCCACAGAGAATGCATGATGTAATCAAAGCTAAAGGTGGTTCAACAAAATTTTTGTGTACGACCTTTGTTTTTGGTGGTGACTTTTTTTTTGGCCAGGCAGTGTATCTTATCAAGATACTCAAAGCTCTTTACAACACAATCTGTGCCCTCGTTCACCCATTCATATAGCACTCTACTAGATCTATACAAAGACTAATCAAAGCTTTAGATCACATTCATACACTAATGGGACACACATTGGAGGCAATGAGGGGTTCAGTGTCTTGCCCAGGAACACTTCGGCATGTGACTGGTGGTGGAATTGAACCCCCAAGTCTTGCATTGGAGGACGACTGATCTAACCACTCAGCCACAGCCACCCCGTTTAGAGAGAGAAAATTAATTAATTAGACAGTCAGTCACATACATGACACAGGGACAAGTCATACTGTTGAAACAATGATTCATTCATTCATTCAACTGTTATTTATACAGGTTAGTCTAATTGAGCCTTGGGCACTCATTTACAAGAGAGACCTGTTTTAAACAAAGAATGATAACAACAGTAGACAACAAAGACTACAATAGACAATCATAAAAGAGCATAAGAGAATAAATGAAAGAAAAATAAAAGAAAATGGTATTAAAAAACAAAACAAAAAACAGCTAGGTTATAAAGTGATGTAGAAAACAAAAAACAGGAACATGTCTGCATTGCTCCTCCTTGAATCGCCACCTTATCATGGTGGAGGAGTTTGTGTGCTTGAACGATCTTAGGAGCTATGCTGTATGGGGCAATTATAATTGTTCCTGGTAGGATCTCCCAAGGCAGATTGGTCCTAGGTGACAGGCAAGACAAAGAGCGATTCTGAAGATTTTTATGGACATGATACAGCAAGGAACTCAGTGTCCCTTGCCCGGACGTGGGTTACCGGGGCCCCACCCTTGAGCCAGGCCTGGGGGAGGGGCTTGTCGGCGAGCGCCTGGTGACCGGGTCTCTACCCATGGGGCCTGGTCAGGCTCAGCCTGAAGGAGCAGCATGGGTTTGCCTTCCTGTGGACACATCACCTGTAGAAAGGGCCATAAAAGTTGGGTGTGTGATGCCATGAGGAGTGGCTGAAGGCGGGGACCTTGGCGCTCTGACCCTGGCTTACCAAAGCTGGCTCTTGGGACATGGAACATGACCTCTCTGGTGGGGAAGGAGCCTGAGTTTGTGCGCAAGGTTGAGAGGTATCAACTAGATATAGTTGGGCTCACCTCAACGCATAGCATGGGCTCTGGAACCAATCTCCTTGAGAGGGGCTGGGCCTTATTCCACTCTGGAGTTGCCCATGGTGAGAGGCGTTGAGCTTGTGTGGGTCTACTTGTAGCTTCCCGACTTGGTGCCTGTGTGTTGGAGTTTTCCCTGGTAGATGAGAGGGTGGCTTCTCTTCGCCTTCGGGTGGGGGGACGGGCTCTGACTGTTGTCTGTGCCTATGCATCAAACGGCATTTCAGAGTATCCGGCCTTCTTGGAGTCCTTGGCAGGGGTGCTGGAAGATGCACCAGCTGGGGACGCCTTTATTCTGCTGGGGGACTTCAATGCCCACGTGAGTAATGTAGAGATATACCTGCGTCCCTAAATGTCATTTTGTAACAGACCTTTTATTTCTGTGACTGAGCAGTTCATTCTGTAAAGATGTTTCTGAAATAGAAAAAAAACTCTTCATCCTTTGAACAACTGAGACATCCCACCCCACCCCCACTTCAGAACCTGGGACAGTTTAAAGTTTGGTTTCAGCATTTCTAACTCTGGAAAGTGTCAAAAGAAGACTTTTATGGTTGGTAAGACAACCCAAGGAGCCATAAATCTGAATAATATTGGAACACCCTTTCTGTGAACCCCACAAAATGGACATTTGAGTTAACACAGATCACTCCAGGATGTCCTGGTACCCACTTGTACCAGCCTCCCTCAGGCTATCCCATCAACAATCATAAATAACAGAAAGCTTCTTCTCTGTTCAAAGGAATTCCAACTTCGACACTTAGGTCCCATTTCTAGCATGCAAGAAAACGGACAGACTTTTTATTCACATTTTAGAAGAAGTAATACT